TAAGTGATTGAGTCAAAAACAAAACGTAGTATTGCTGGTTTTCAATTATTCCCAAGAGAATGAAATAACAAAAGACAGGGCGGCCATGTTGAATTGGATGATATAACAACAGACACTAATAAAGCAAGAATCTTTTGTTAAGTTTATCCAACATGGYRGCTGTGAAAACCATCAATTACTGGACCTTACCAACTTCTTTGCTTCAACGAAAATATGAATTTCTGGTTTTTCTTCTTCCTTGCTCTAGAAGTCGTTAAATTATCATCAACTCCTTCTTCTTCTTCCTCTTCTTCTTCCTCTTCTTCTTCTTCCTCTTCCTCTTCTTCTTCATTCTCATCCATAGGATCATCATCTTCGCCTTCAGCTATTTCATCAATCCTCTCTGGATCGTTGCTGGAGTCTCCTAAATTAACTACAGATTCCATTGGTAAACCTTCTGGCTCGAAAGACTTAYTTTTAACTAATTTAACTCCAATCAAATCGCCTTGCAGTTCAACTCTGTATGCATTCTCCATCTTTTCTGGTTGACCTGCAACTTTGACCAGGCGTTACTGGTCAAACGAGAGGAACCTGGGTATAGAGCATGTGACTAAAACACAGGAAACCCAAGGGCCCACTGCACAAGTTCTATTTATATTATATCAGGACATCACAGTGTTGTATGTTAAGGTAGGTATATACACTTGATTGCAAAACCATTGTCAGGTTCAAAACATAGAACATAGTAAATTTAGATGTATCAAGTGATACAACACTTGGAATGTTTAYAAATTGTTGTACYGACARAAGCATGCTTCTAWCAAATGTTTGATATCGACTGYGTATCTCAAATGAATACATCAGAGGATAACTGTCATTTCCAAGAATTGCTTTCAGTCTCAACTTCTATGTTCTATGTTTTGAACTTGACAATAATGATTTTGCAACTGGGTTTATATATAAGGGCCACGGAGCACCCTAAAGAGTGGGAAGGGGCCAGTTGAGAGGCTAAAATTGACTTGTGTGGGAAAAAGGGGAGGGGGGGGCTAAGATTGGAAAATATAAGAGACTAGCATGAGGAAAGGGAAAAAGTGGAGGGCTGTAGCCCTCCTGACCCACCTCCTCTGTTGCCCCTATTAATACTTGTAATCTGGGTCTAAGAGAGAGATTGGAACTAAGACTAGGAAGAATAAGAAATAGAGTGGTTTTCCTATGAAACAAAGTGTTGAGTCAGATAAACATGATAGAAAACAACACAAGTAGAGTGCAATTATATTTCTAAATACACCAACATCTATAATTTTCACAGGTTTATAAAAATAACTCAAATAACTACAAAAATCAATCAACTTCAATCATGTTCTACATGTTTCATATTTTCTTGACTATATCTGTTTTTAAATTTTGTTGCCACTTGTTTTGCTTTTTTTWAAAATCAACAACTTATGTAATTACAGGTTTGCACTAAAGAGTTATTTACATCAATGACATTTTCAAYGTTGGAATGACATCACTAGGCTCCAAGATTACATTGGCTGCAGCCTTGACTTTTGCTGTGACTATCACAGCCCTGGTTCACCAGATGCAGAACTCAGACCGACAAAGATTACGGCAAGGAGTAGAAAGAGACTTGGAAAGACAGGAAAGAAAACGAAGRAACATACAAGAGCTTGAGGAACAAATGAAACTGCGTGAACAGTTGGAGCAGAGAGATAAAGAACAGAAAAGTTGATGCTTGAATAGACCCTTTTCAAGTTCCAAATTACCGCTGTTTCTTGATTACAGACTCATTTACTCAGGGTTAGCCTCGACTCTGTGAAGAATATTCACGTGTTCCAGTCAAGGTCCATCAAGTTTCAAAGTGATTGCATTGTTGAAGTTGTGCATTCTTTACTTTAACGTTGGTATCTACAAGTAATTAGACACTGATTCAAGGCTAAGCCTGAGTAAATGAGTCTGTAATCAAGAAACACAGCRGTAATTTGGAACTCGAAAAGGGTCTATTGTTGCTTCAAAAATGTTTAGTGTTTTGCCTTTCCGAGTGTTTGAGTTGACTATGTTATGACCCTCCCGACACCATCCCCTGTGGTAATTCAAACAGACTTAAATTTATAAGAGTAAGAGAGAAAGTACAGTAATAAAGTGCATGCCATATATCTGTTAAACAAAACCAACTACATAATGTTCGTCTAATGGAAAGAGTAGATATCATTGAAGCAGAGCATTGGGAACAAAGCAAATACTTTGTGTCTTTGTTTGGTTCACGCGGAGTGAATTTAACAACTCAATAGTTGATAACTAAATAATACTAAGCACTACATTATTAGCTAGTAATGTTTTGATGCCAGGATATATGGCCACAGCACGATATTTTTGAAGTTTAGACAAGCTATTTATACAAGCTTAATAATGTAAAGTTACAGGAATTTTCATATAATGGATGATAAAAACTATTCACACAGATAAGATCATCAAATGAATGAAGATTGGAAGGTCACTGGCTGAATACTAGACAAACCTGGGCTTGCAATGATGAACAAGACACACTAACTTATAATAGTGAAATATTCTGATCTCAACAGAAGTTGGCTGATGATGATGATTTTCCTCAAGCACAATAGTCAAAGGTGCTTTTATCAACAACCCATCCATGACCACGCAATAATAATGTGAAATAAAATATTTGTCCATCAGTATCTTTTCTTTTATTCAAATATAATAAAAAGTATAAATATGTAACAATTAYGTAATGGATTTATTAATGTTAGTAAAGCCCATGCCGACACAGGAAAGTAATATTTTAGTTGGTCCTCCAGTCCTGCTGTCRTCTTCAGAATCTTTTTCTTGTGTTTGAATCTTGAACATTACTCCTGTGAAGTCTTTTAGATACCTTAGGAATTGAATTCTGAAATGATAAWTTTTTTGAATAAAACTACTAAGTAAATTGAACTTTACGGCATAAATATGGCATATGGCCAGTGAAAATAAGTTTGAACATTTGGGTCCAAGATTCAGGAAAATTGTTTGATCCAAGAATGGTCATTGCAGGAAATAATTAATATTCATGACTATTCAATTTGTATTTAACAGGGAATTAACAGGCTGTTTAGCTTCGTTGTTTGTCATGCACATTGCAGACTATGTGATGCCACTCTTGGGAGTTAATTCCTTCATGTGTAAATATCTTAACATGTTCATCATAAAAGTAATAATGATAATACTTTATTAAATTCTCCCTTAGGGCATTTAGGGCAAAATCTAATTACATGCAAATAATAAATTAAATATGTATGCATGGCATAAACTAAAAAAATTAAAAATGGACAATTTGAATACAAAGCTCTATTGGCTAAGCTGAAATAAAGCAGGTAAAGTGAAAAAATGAAAAATGTTTATATTTCATGCCATTTCTACTATGTATATACTATACTAATATTGAGGTGCTCTTTTGATTTCCAGTGTTTATTTTGACAGGAATTAGGGTCATGTGACCTGTTGTTGCAAAAGGCCTATTCCTAAGACATTTAATCTACTTGTGGTTTCTTAATGCGAAACCTATTTTTTCTTAATGCCAAACTTAATGCTTACGTGTAGGGTGTAAGTGGTCCTGTAAGAACCTTAGAAACATCTGGTTGTCCCATGGCCATAAAGAGTAACACAAGACTTTGGTGTCTAGAGTCAACAGATCCTCCCTGGATAAAGAAGTAGAAGCAATGCTATAACAAAATGTTTTTTAAGGGAGATAATATTCAGTAAGGAAGAGGGTCAGAGAAAGAACAAAATTACAGACTGAGTTTGTATGGTAGAAAATTGGAAGTTCCTGGGGGTAGGGGGTGGGGGTCCTTTTACAAATTCCCTCCCAGGTGGGTGTATGGTTTTTTTTTCTGGAACTACAGTACACAATYAATATTCTGTGCATACAGCTCACAACTCACATGATGATTTTGATGGTGGAATGAAATCAGAGAACCTGGACAAAAACCCTTGTAGCAAGGAAGATAACAATATGCATTGAACAAAATCATCTTAAAAAATTAGATCTGATGACTACTTCAAGAATGATTATGAGCATGTGGCATAACCCTATATTAGTGACCTTATATATTTCATCCAGTAGCATGTGTGCTGTCTTTTTCCCTAGATCTTCTGCTATTGTTGGTTCTCCTTGCCCTGGCAGGTTTGATGAACACTGTGCACCAAGTACAGCTCCTTTAGTTGTCTCTGCTACYAATGATAACCCAAACCCAGATGATCTAAAAGCCAAATAATGTACCATGTTAACAAAAAACCTTGAAGGATGTCATCATGTTAATGATGCCATAAGCATATATCAGTAATGATTAGACAAAGAAGAAAGAGTGTAGGACAGTTTTAGGAGGGACGTAAAGACAGTCAACAATATTAATCAATCTATAGTTATCAATGATCACCATCATTATCATCACCATCATCACCAATATCATCACCAATATCATCATCACCATCATCATTACCCAGTGGGAGATCAAGGGGAGGGGTAAAGGGGTAATGCACCCCCTCCCCCCAGATGAGATGATATCTACTGCATTATTGGTGTTTGAGTTTGTAACCAAAGGGTGCACCCCCTCCTAAAACGAAAATCCTGGATAGTGCACCCCCTCGAGAACATCCTGGATCCGCCCCTGTTATGATAATCATCATCATCATCATCACCACCTCATCACTAATGTCATCATTATAACCTCCATCATCTTCACCAACACTACCATCACCACCACCCTATAATCAATTTCATAGTATTGCACACAAAAACTATTAAACCACTCCCCAAATGATAATAGCATTTGAATAAAAAAGATTATGTGAAGGAAGACTAGCATAGACACACAATTTTTACCCCTTCCTTAAGAAATAAACGATGAAATAAGTGCTATAGACAACATACTTTCCTGCTTGTTGTCCTCGGCAGTGGTCAGTATAAATGTATATATCTGATACAAACTGATTCAAGACACCTCTGGTAGCATCAACCACTCTGTTCACCATAGATGGAGACACTCTAGTAGCATAGCTGTTGTTGATATGTGTTAAGGTTGTCAAGTTGGTGAAGGTAAGTAACTATGAAAGTGGGAGACCCAAAAGGAGCTTATCAATCAAGCTGTACGATAAAACAAGGGCTAGGCTTCACGAATTTGCAATGTCCCCTGTGATTGTTTAGGTTTAGGGGCAGGGTTAGGGAAAGGTCATTGTTTTCTATTGTTCTACACATGTGTGTCCTCCAATAGGATCACATCTTGCAAATTCAAGGACGACCCTAAAGCAAGTTTGTTATTGGAGTAGTGAGGGACCATGGGTGACTTTCGCTAAATATATTCACTCCCAACTCTCCATAAATATATAACAATTCCCCGACATATAATTCCAGTCCACCCCCTCCTCCCTACAAAGTTAATTTAGAGAAATGCAAGTGAAATTAAATTGAACGTTTGACCCCTAAGCCTCAAGGCTGACATAATGATAATGACAATCAAAGGATACGCAAGKCCTCTTATTCTTTTTATTTTCCCTGGATCTGTAAACTGTAATGGTCTAAGGGTTTTTCTAACTGGACATGAAAAGAAAATCTGTCCACCRCCATCAGGAGGGCTACCTCTCTTGCTAATCTGTTGAGTAAATTAAAAAAGAAAGATCCACTTGCCTTACCTTTTTCTCCAAAGGAAAAATGATTTAAGATCTGCAGGTCTGAGATTTTGAATTTACAGGGTTTTCATTAAGGTTCAGAGATCAGAGAATGCTGGCTTAAACTACCAACCTCTGGCTAGTTCATTATCTTTTTCTATAGTTTCAAAACTTGATGAAAATCCTGCGTGTGGACCTCGTGCTAGGGAAAACTTTAGCCTTTTCCCAAAGGTACGATTGCCTTCTCATCCTTTTGTCTTTGTTTCTTGGGTTTCCTGTGGAAGATGTTGATCCCCCCCCCCCCTTTTATTCTCACTCAGCCAAAAAATCATATACAAGGAAGCCCAACATGGAAGCCCAACCATCCTTGATGAATAGAATGGCTCTGAGACATATACATGGGTGGCCATGAGAGCAAAGCAATTTCAGGCAAAAGGTTTTGTTTACATTAATTTTTGCYCAAAACTACCTTGCTCTACCTTATAACTACCTGCAATACTTTTGATGTCGATCATCACAACTAACAATGAAACTATTTATAGTATTACTCACAGGGATCCCAACTGAATAAATGGTCAGACCTGTGATATGACAATTACAATTACCAATTACCAAATTACCAATTGTAGAAAAAAAGATCTACTTACTTTAATATCAAGACCTTTGTCATCCACAACAAATCTTTTTAGCAAAGGAATAGTAACCATTTTGATAACATCTACCTGCAAATGATTGACAAGAACGAGACACTTATTACCCATTCACACCAGATCTTTAAAAACATGTTTAARAGTTGTCTAATCAAACTAGTGGCTGTTYACACCRTGCACACGGCTTAKTTAACAAGTGTGCACKGCTRAGTTAACAAGTTTCCTGCAYTTATATATGTAAGGGACATAGTTTTGAACCTGTTTAAATATGGCAGCCATACAAGGAAGGTCGTGGGATAGGGAAACTAGTAAGTAAACAAGGTTACTTGGTATGGATAGGGTATTCCAATAAATGCTACCTACAACAAGTTGATACAAGCTCACCGATGGGTCAAAAGTATCATTAGTAACTCCTCTCATTGTCAGTCGTAAAGGCTTCTTACAAAATGGTGCCAACATGACAACACCCTCGAGGTAATAGCCAATAGCTCTTTGTGAATTGCATTCGTGGTCAATAGTGCCACCAGCTAAAAGTCCTGGCTTGTAATAGATGCTTGTACCTAAAATAATTGACAGGATTTCRATATGCTGTTTTTCGTAAAACTTAATTCTTGGGGTGGAACAACMTAATTAAATTAAATCCCCCAAGCTATAAATAACAATGAAACAGGTGCCATGTTGGTTGATCTAACGAGAGAAGCTAATGAGAAATGCTTTGTTATMGTCAACCAAGATGGTGGCTATGACGTAACATGCACCCCAAGAATAGAGCTTATTGGTACTGTAAATAATTCATGGAATAAAGAGCTATATGGACACATTTTTGGCAACCCCATATCCTAGTATTTATTGAAGCCTGCATGCTCCCTTCAGAATTTTGTTTGAAATATTATTAAAAATGACCCCCTCCACTCTTCCCCTCCCCCTCCCCCCCTCAAAAATTCTGCAATGAACCTAACAACCTAGTCATCATCTACCTGTTTCATTCACTTCGATATGTGAACCATTGGTTAACTTGTCCATAARACGAATAAAATTAGCCTCAAAATCTGACAAAAAATAACAGAAATCAAAGCATGCACATTAATCTTTGAATACCTTGAAAAAGCTTTAAAAAAATACAATAACATCCCTACCTTTAAGTCCAGGATTATCGTCATCTGTTCTTATATTCTTTATTCTCACTGGCCGGCTGCTGAGAGTGGCGAGAACGAGTCTTAGACGAAAATAATTGCATCCTTCATAAACTAACGTTGTGTCCGCCATCTTGAAAATAAAACACGTGGAAACGTTTTCCTCTCGGGCTTCCTGTGCTTATTCAAAACATGACGTATTTCCGGTTTCAACTGTTTATAAAAACCGCTAAAATAAAATAGTAAATTGGCTCAATGATTAAAACTCAACCTGAAACGATTAGAACTTTGGGCAAACAATCCTGTCACRAAGAAAAAAGAAGTAATTCTATAAAGAACTACTCTTTCGTTTTGGATCCGGAAGTCGTGTTGTGTGACGTCAAATCTAAAAGCTCTCAACCGCGTTACAAAGATATCGGGGACTCAGTAAAGATTTCAAAATGGCRGACGACGACATGGGAGAGTAAGTTGAGAAAATATACCTGTGTTTTCTATGTTTACACTCTTTTAATTTCAATGGTATTTGCCCTACGTTTAGCTAAATAGACATTCTTTAAATCAGAGGTGAAAGATCTAGAATTTCAGTGTTTGTTATGACAATTTTTGGTATAATAGTTTTAGGCACGTGGGTTTCCTTTATACTGACAGTTTATATTCGTTTTTAACAAAACTAGTTATGATGATGATTTGGATGAAGTAGAAGAAGAAGAACCATTAGAAGATGTAGATGAACTCGAGGTAGGATTCAGAAGATTCTAACGATGTAAATATAATCAGAATAATAAACAAATAGAGATCAACTGATTGCTAATTACAATATTAATGCAGCATAAGTTTATTTTGATTATATCATCTTATCTCATTTCCTGTCTTTGTAAATTGGTTACAGATAAGGCATCCACACTATTCTGTATGTTGATAAAATAATGGCAGTGTCTAGATACCTTGCACCCAGGATCGATTTTCAAAATGTACTAGATACTCGGCAGCTTTTGATTTTCATGAAAAATCCTAAGCCTTAATCCTAACCGTCTCTATCTATTTATGGTACAATTAACTGTTGTTGTTATTGATGTTGTAATATAGTGGTTCCATAGCAAGCATGCTGAAGGACTGCATTGTTCCTGTCCTACGACATGACTGATGTTAGACCAAAACTTATTGTTCAAACTTTTTTTTATGCTGGATTAGTATAAATTGCCTTTCCCATTATTTTCCATGGGTTTTGTTTACCCCCCCCCCCCCCAGTATTTATAAGAAGTTACATTAATATGTAAGTAATTTATTCACTTCTTCCCTCAAAAAGTAAATTATTTTTTCCCTTTTAGCCGACAGATGAAGCAGGAAATGTAGACATACTTCCTGCACAAGGTAGAGTAGTAGAAGGGTGTAGTTATATATAAAGCTAAATATTATTAAGCTATGGGATTGTGCAATATAGTATCCTCTTTTTGGGAAAACAAGAGTGGTATAGCAGTTGACATTGACAGTGTAGCACACTTGCCTCTCACCTCTGGGGTCTTGGATTTTTTTTTTGGGAGGGGGGGTAGGGTTGAGGGTGATGGTATAGGAGTAATGCACTAACCTCTTGCCTCTGGGTACTTGGATTCAATTTTTGGGGGGGGGGGGGGATAGATGTGTTGAGGGTGGTGGCGTAAAGGTAGTACACTTGCCTCCCACCTCTAGGGTCTTGGATATGATTCCATAACTTGATATACTTGTGCTGAGGGTTTGTTGGGTCTCTATGAGGCATCCGACTTGCTCAACACTTATTCAGTCTGTRAGTTAGACTTTGATCTGCCCAGRGGTTGTTTCAGGGTACAATAAGATTTATGCTGCTTTGTTTCATATCCTTTTYTAAGCACACACCAATTTAATAATTCTTACCTTGCTTTTAAGATGAGAATCTAGAACCAGCAAAGAGAATAACAACACCATATATGACCAAGTATGAGAGAGCAAGAGTGCTGGGTACTAGAGCACTCCAAATAAGGTATCATKAGCAACTAATATCTCCTTGGAATTTAATTTGAAGATTATTGAATCTTGTCATTACCTGTTGGAGTTCTTGTTAAGAGTATTACTTCCTTATTTTTCAGTATGGGAGCTCCAGTTATGGTGGAACTGGAAGGAGAAACAGATCCTTTACAAATAGCATTAAAAGAACTTAAGTAAGATTAACTTATATTTTTGCTTACATGATGTCATAATAATTGTTATGCAACTATAATAATTTTTCCAAAATAGAAATGAGTACAACTACAATATAAACAAATTAGGAATTGGGAGATTCATAGGAGAGACTATTTTCAAATTGTAGCTTTCTATGTTGGGCCAAACTACAGAAAAACTCATTCAATTGTTTTGATGTCTCCTTGTTTTATGGTCAYATAAACTWACWGCAAATACAATYTTTTATTYATTTTCAGAGCAAGAAAGATCCCTATTATAATACGACGCTATCTTCCAGATGGTAGCCATGAAGACTGGGGCATTGACGAGCTTATTGTCACAGACTAGAAAAATTGYATCATTAACGTTTTAAATTGCCAAAAAAATCATTCATAGCCTTTGTTATTTGAAGCCAAGCAGTCTAGTTGATATTTTAATAATACAATCAGGTTATTTCATTGAAGCCTTTCTTGGCTAGAAGCAACATTAAGATTCTTATGATCRTCTAGAAAGATTTTTTCAAGGAATATATACCGAGCTTTAACATAATTTCTGTGCCAACATTGGCAAGCGAAAAACACAGCACTGCAGTTTTTGCAAAGGCCTTGGTTCTTTGTACATGAGAATTCTAGAACTCAGTCTACATGCTTAGTTTTTGGTGGTTATGCCAAGAATGATACGCAGTAAAAGTGATATCACTTGATTGTCAAGAATCATGAACCTGGAGATATACATTTTAGCCAGCTCAACAAAGTCCTAGTCATTGCATGCCTTGTAAATAATATCCACATCAACTACTGATCATAGTTCATAAATCAATTTTTATCATATTTGTCAGTCTCACGTTTTGTTTAAGTATATTTATTCACAGGTAGTTTTTCACTTGTTTTAATATTATAGTACTCATGAAAAGTGGGTGGATTAATAAATACTTGAGTCCTTCAGATGGCACATGTGAATYGTTCTCTCCCTTACCATGAGAGGTTTTCCTTAGGGTTCACAAATTTTTCTCCCTCCATAAATATCGTGAGAAAAGAATTGTGCATAAAGATTATTGAATGTACTAGTAGAGTGATTTACTTTCCCTGTGAAAGAAAAGTAGTAGACACAAATTCCATTGTTTTCTTTTGTGTTACTTTGACTGTTATTCACTAATTATACAACTATGTTTCATGGCCGAAAATTCCTCTAGTAAGTGTTGAGTGTGCTCATATTGCTTCCTTTCACTACACTTCATTTCCTGTAGTGTGCAGAATGTTCATCAGCTGAATCGCCAGTTTTCAATAGGATTCTTTCTGGCTGRCAGCACATGGTGGTCAGTGTTTGACCACCATGAGTAGATAATGAGATTCAAAAACTTTTATCAGGTGAGTGAAAGCCAGCAATACTTATGCATTTGCCTATGGTTAGCAAGACTTGGCAATGACTGATCTTTTTTGAAAGCATCAACATTTTATTTATTGAACAACAACTGTGTAYAGTATTCCCCAAACCATTTTTTTCAAATATTGCAGTGAAACAGCATACTGTACGATTCCATCTCATTACGATATGCAAACAGTCTAGTCTCTTACTCCTTATCTGCTTAGTAAGTTTCTAGACATTCAAAAGGGTTATAGTAGTACCATTTCTCAAGGTGATTAGCAAGATTTTTAAATTATCTTTATCAATTTTATGCTGCCCTCCTGAAATATTTACTTAATTTAATTACTGGTTAAATTAAAGTTGATGACAATGAAAAATAAGCCAAAATTGAATAAAAAATCCCCTCTTCCCCCCCTCCCCCCCCAAAAAAATGAGATAAAATGCCTTATATAATTGTATAAGAAAGAATTAAAATTCATGGTTAATTTTCATTTGTGATAGGAGATGGTGTGTGGGATGGTGTTGTTGAAGTTGGTCGAACCTTTGGTTTAGGTGCCTTATTCAGAACCTGCCGTATTCCATTTTTTTCATCAAAAGTTTTCCATACTTCATACAAGTTCAATATTTCTTGGGTAATTTCTACTACTTTGTCCATGTCAATGGAAAGCTCTGCAAACCACTGCTTGGTGTCTTTCTGTTGAATRACACAAGCCATGTGAATGGCAGCCAGTGCGATAAGGTATGGAGGGTATAGTAAGCATACATYGGTTCTTAAGCTGTCATTCACAATCCTCCATGCAATTGGTAAAATGGAATCTTCCATGGCAAGATCTGAGACGTACTGGGTTAGAGGTCTGTAGGGGTGATAKACAATCAGACAGCAATCCATCATCTCCAGGAGGTAAAATTCACACTCTAATACCTGAAAAAACAATAGGATTATTTTGTAATTCTYTTCTAAAACACCTAAAGCAGTAAATTCTTCATCTAAATTCTCTATTGTTAACGGCACCAAAAATGGCCGTAATGTTTTGTCTTTTGACTCTCTTGGGAATGCTTGCAACCCATCAACRGGTRGTAGTTACATTYTCTCCCTTCCTCGGCCAAAGAGAGAGTGAGAAAGTTACAGTGGGAGCCCAATTTAGAYAAAGTGAAAGGGTCTTTTTCTATTTTCAAGGCATCAAAAGATAGGCTTTTGTTCCCTTTGTTGATACCTGACTCATTCTGTAGGGAAACTGTTCCATTTGAAAAGCATGAAAAAACTTGGTCTTCAAAACAGCTGTGCAGGCYGTACTCARCCTATTGTTCGATATAACTCCGCAYTCCTCCACYTTAGACGACAGATAAACACAGGTTGGTGCTACGAGCAGAGCATCGATGCATTTAAGAGAATTCTTAGCGTAGAACCGTTTAAAGAAAACCGTAGCAGTCGCAATGACTTGCTGTCTAAGTTTCAAATGTTCTCCCAACGCTTGGATAAAATTGGAATAAAATATATGAAATTGTTGGTATTCATTCTCTGTAAGAATCTTTAAGTCATTCTGTCTTTCCATTAATATTTCTTCGCGGTCTAAAATCCATTCATTGTGATGAGWTGAGAGCCAAAAGTTGGCAGCCATTTTTTAATGGAGGATAAAAAGAAAGAATTCTATAAGGCGTTCCTCGCTCCTCAGAGCTCAAAAGGAAAGACACAGGAAGCCCATGCAAATGATTCCTGCGGTTGTGTGTTGTGGTAGTGTTGCATCGTTCGGTGTCAGCGTTAGTGATCCGTGTAGGTGCAGCACATGTAGTTGGTGTAATACCCGTAGTACCCGTGGTACCTGTAGTACCCGAAGTGCCTGTAGTACCTGTAGTATCCGTACTATCCGTAGTACCTGTAGTACCCGTAGTACCTGTAGTAGGTGTAGTATCCGTAGTACCTGTAGTACCTGTAGTAGGTGTAGTAGATGTAGTATCCGTAGTACCTGTAGTAGGTGTAGTACCTGTAGTACCGGTAGTAGGTGTAGTACCTGTAGTATCTGTAGTATCCGTAGTGCCTGTAGTATCCGTAGTACCTGTAGTAGGTGTAGTATCTGTAATAGGTGTAGTATCCGTAGTACCTGTAGTACCTGTAGTAGGTGTAGTATCCGTAGTACCTGTAGTACCTGTAGTAGGTGTAGTATCCGTAGTACCT